TTTTGATTCTCCCCGCGCTTTTGGCATGAAAAGAGTCGCCCAATGGAACGCAAGAAATATCTTGAGCCGATGAGTCTTCCCATAATCGAGGAGTGCGGCGCTTCGATTCCTGATTATGCCGGGCAATTAATGCACACTCGCCGGAGTTTCTAGGAGATACCGGTGGTGAAACAACGCTGATAGTGAAACGATCGGAAGCAAACTTGATTGGTATTGATTGAGGAATCTTACATCTGCTTCTAATTCTGATTCGAACAAACTGTAAACTCCAAGATGCCCAGTCGATTTCGATGAACGATCCACAATAGTCTCCAATAGTCTTCATTAAACTTATGCTTTTGAGATGAAGAGGAATGCCATAAATCAGTATCCAAGTATCCGAGGAGTTGGGAACCACTTCTTGTTCTTTCCATTCAGAAACAGAGACTGAGAAATTCCTGAATTTGTGTACTCCAAGACTTTTGATCCGCAAAGCTTGTGAGATGTTTGGGCATACAAGGATCCAGCTTCCATCACCTCTGTTTTCTATACTATAATTGCTGTCAGTAGCCCAGAAATTACCAGCCCATTCTCTAAAGCCATGGATATCTTCAGACAAGAAAAAATCAGATTCATCAGACGACTGGAAATTGATGATTAGACATCTTCCAAGTAATTCACGTCTATTTTGAACTCCCTCATTATCAACTTCAATGTAGCTCTCTATGCCTTGTCCAATAATTCTGCACTTACCACCCACATAGAAGCCCCCACTTTTAACTACTTCTGCATAAGATCTAGATATATCATTGGGTTTAGCTTGCCGTGGAGGTGGAGGAATATGGTGATTGATGGGCTTAAAAGAGGACCAAATACGCTCCTGAAGTTCTGCCGAATAAAAACGTTGAAGTAGATTGGTGAGTTTAGCCCAGCCTCCTAGCGATGGAATAAGTATCTTATAGACTCTTCCATTCATCCTCTGTTCAGAAATCTGAAGCTGTTGAATATTCTGAAATGAGGATGTTCCAACATGAATGATTCTTCCGCCACTTCGTATAATACACTTTCGAGGGAAGGTCCAGTCTTTCATTGCTGCTGATTGAAGAACACCCTGTAACCAAGTAATCTGAGTTTCATCCATGAAAGTAAACCATCTTCTTTGTGATTCCTGGGCTTGAAATCGATACACCACTTCATGTCTATTTCTGCTGATCTTAGTAACTGTAACGATCTTCGAACCAAAATTCTCCTTCTGTTCACAAACACCCTTCGAATCGCTGCTTCTGCTGCTTCTTGCTGCTGCATCGGACCTGCAAAACAATAAACTGTTGTTCTCCCCTTCACTCGCAAAAACTCTCTCTTCTTCTCTCTTACGGAGCGTTTTCTCTCTCATCTCTCTCTTCTCAGCAACCATTTATATAAGTGGTCACGAACTATGTAACCATCAGCGACCATAATTTTAAAATGGTAGTGGATGGTCAAATATTGAAAAGTGAAAAGTTGGCGGGTTTACTTTAGAAAAGCGGGAAGACAAAAAAAAGATTGGCCGCCATGATTTCGTATTCGGCGACCATACTACATGGACGCAAATGAATAAAAGTTCAACGACCATTTATTCTGGTCGCCTAATATCAAATAAATATAATTGGAAAATTAAAAAACAAAAGAAAAAGAAGATACAGTTCAGCGACCAATTGGCTCCGAAAAAGCGACATCGTTTTGTAGCATGATTCATTGATTTGGTCATTTGGATTATAATCAGTGTTCTACCTCTTCTTCCTCCAATCAATATAAGGAGGTTCCCAGCCGGGACCTATTCCATTCTCCTTTTTCTGGTTTCTGCGCACAGTGCGGGAGGAGCTTTTGATCTTTTTGCTTTTTTTATTTTTTAATTCATAAGACTTGCTTCTTTGGGGTATTTTAATTCGGTGGCTTTGTGTGTCTTAATGTTTATTGGGCCTTGGTTTTTATTTAATTAAGGATGTTGATCTCTTTTCTCTTCTCTGTGGACTTGATTGCTTTGATTTAAACCTCATTAAACAATGCAAGAAGACCTTAACTCAATTTTTAACAAAGCCAAAAAAACCATGGTTGATCTTTCTTTCTTTGCAAATTGCAAGAGAAACTATTGAATTAATTAGTGTGTATGATTAATTAAATTGGCATAAATTCATTATTACGTGGCTTTTAGCAAATAGTTTTACACTAATTGACTATGCAATGGAATCACAACAACACATGGATAGAATGAGTTTTTCATCAAAGAATACCATATGGATAAGGTTTGGCAAATTAATTTTATATTCTGAGTTGTTTTCAATCCAAATGACATAAAATTATCTTTAGTAATTTGACACCTTTAAAAATTATTATCGTAGAGAATTATTCAACCAACTAAAATGTGCTCTAATTCTATCTTAAAAAATTGAATGCAAGTACATATATTTTTTATTAGCATCATTCTATACATCTTATAATTTAATGTTTGTATATCCAACAATTGATGTAAAGAAAAAATGAGTTGTTTTATATCACCAGAAGATGCAGTTGATTCTACTCAGTCCCTATTTGAAGGGCATAAGAAAAAAAAAACATGTATGGAGATTATCAACATTGCCAATGGCAATCCATTCATTTCATGTTTGTTTTGAATCCGTTGCAAAAAATTTTATTTTGCGAATTCCAAATCATGACTTCAAAATGAGATACATAAGTTTCACAAGATCCATCAAATTTGCCAAAAATTGTCATAATCATATTCAAGTCGTGCGTTCTAGAGACTTTACAGGTTTCTAGATCTTTACAGTATTTTAGTTTCCTTCTTTGTCAATTTAATACTTATTATCAAAGTATTTCTCATGTTTGAGTTACGACTTCATTTTATCGTAAATGTTAAAGTGTATGATATAGGAAATTCATCATATAAATGTGAATATTGCGTAGCAGTAATGTGGAAGGATGAAAGTACAAAACCCTCAAGAAATTCTAATTACGCCAAATTTCAATTATGTTGCAGAGCAAGCAAAGTGAATCCCACTCCTCGAAAGCATAATCTAGAGGTTTAAAATATCATATTGCAAGCAAATACTTCAACGAGTTGTCACTTTTTGGAACACATATGTGCCTACATCGGGTATTCTCATTAACTTCTATTATACGTAAACTTTACCTATTTATAAATGATGTACGTGTAGTATATTTTTATCCTATTGAAGGTCAAGTATAAAATCAGTTGATACCCTGGTACCTATTGAAAGGAACATACCAAAATTATCTCAACTATACTGACAAGTGACAATGAAGTCCAAAAATGATCATATTTTTTCTTTAGAAATCCATTTTCGAATCCTTTGCATAATACGATTATTCAGCAATTGTAAGATATGGTAGACTTGAGTAATATATTAGTACAAATATTTTGACATGTAATGAATAAATTGAATGACACCACGATTGTTAATGTGTGCGCTTTGGTTGAGGTTGAGCATTAAGATTGGATTAAAAGCAATCAAACAAAGCAGCGACAACATTGTTACAAAGTTCTTTTAAATTCTTACTTCATAGGTTATTCAAACCAGCTCAAGTGGAAAACATATCATTTTGACTTCATCACACAGAATGTAATTGATCTCGATGCAAATATAAAAGCTTCGAGCAAGCTATGATGATTTATGGATGGGCAGTAAAGCTAGATCTTTCTGATATATTTTCATGTAAGCCTGATGGGTTGGATATCCAATACATGGTTGTTTTACAAAAGGACTAATTCTAGGAAAGATCCTAATAGAGTTGATGTCATCGCAAGAGTTTCTAAGCTAAAGCTAAATCAATTGATGAATGAGAATTGTGGTTGAGAAGACATACATGTAAGTTATATTCCATAGGTTTACTTTTAATAATTCTTTAATCATTAGTTGTTTGGTAATCATTTTCAGTTTAGATGGCTATCGAGAATTTCTTTCACTTCAAAAGTGTTTGGATAATGAATTTTGAAAAAATGTGGTCTACCTCATACCCATTTATTACCCATTTATTAGTATTCCTAGATGTGGAAGATAGATTCCATTGTCCTTCGAAACTATATTCAATTTTATTTGTTGAAATTTTTTTTTTCGTTGAATCTATTTGTTGAAATTTCACATCTAAGTAGATCTTGAATTTTATGAAGCTGTTACAAATTATATGTTTCATGGTTTATGTGGCATTCGATGGCGTAAAGATCCATGTGCGTCGAATAGTGTGTGTTCTAAATGTTTTCCTAGAGAGTTCCGTGAGCAAACAACTACTAATGACAATGGTTTTGCAAGTTGTTAGCGTCCAGAGAATAACTACTCATTCATGGTGAGTATGATCTCACTTGATAACCAGTTCATTGTTCCTTATAACATATACCTATTATTACAATTTCAAGCTCATATAAATCGGTCATAGCGATAGAAAGAAAATTGTGGAAAATATTGGATGAGATAAATTCTACTTTAGCAAAAAATGGAGCTTTATATTTGAGGATATTTTACAATTAATATTTTAGTTTGATCAAATGCAAGAGAAGAAAGAAAATAGAATTGGAATACAATAGAATAAGAAAGAGACAATTTATAATTGATATGGAGGTATAACTAATGAAGATGAAGACTATTTTATTGGTGAAAATGAGGATATGCTCATGACAGAGGAAAAGAAACAAAGCCAGCAAAATATGCAGTATTTTCTATCAAAGTGGAGTAAATAGAAGTGTAACTTGAACACGATTTAGGATTTGGCTCCTTGGTTCCAAGTATGTGATTTATGCTAAAGATTTTAGCTGATGAATCGGTTAGGGTGTAAAAAATTACTATGATGTTAATCCTTTTGCATATTGCCAATTATTAAATAATTAGGATTATCTTATGCTAAAAAAAATATGTATCCAACCAACTGGTCAGGTCCATCTTGCTTCGAACAAATTGCCACGGTTGTTTTATACCATTTGTGAAATGCATCCGGCCAACAGGCCGGGTTCTAATTCTAGTTATCACTATACGAAAACAAAAAATAATCCCACGATTCCCACCGCCTACCCTTGTTCAACAGAAACCCTTACTCCCTTTCCCCCACCCCTAATCGAAGACGTTCCTTCCATCTCGTCGATTGCCTTAGCAACCATCTCGATCCGTTTAGTTTCTCGTTTGTTTCCCCTGTTCTTTCTCGTCAATCGTTCCTTTCTCCAACCTTTAACTGAAATAGAACTCACAGGTTCATCTTGACATTTGGTTTATCTTCCTTTGTTACTCTTTCAGGGAATCAGTCGATTGGTAGCAATGGTTTTCCAAAAGGTATGAGGTAGCTATAACCTTGTCACTTGTAGTGAATGTTGTGGTACTCATTAATCGGATGAAATGGCTTAGTTTCTGTAAACAATCCTCATCTCCATTTAAAAATAGCCAAAGACATAAGCAAGGAGGGAGATAGTGCAATTCCATAAAATAAAGTACAACTCTTCCTATATCATTTATCTCCAACTCCATGACATCTAATAAGCAATAACACCCTATTCATAAAATAATGCTGAAAACATGGCTGCCAGAAAGACCAAGCGGCATCGGGAGTTCCCCCAAACAATTCAGTTCCCCCATAAAAAAATGATCCTTCTCTCACGCAGGTCAATGATGGCTCTTGATGCCTCAAGGAAGGTGCAACTAAGAGTACTCCATTCTGTTCGTGGTGCTGCATTTGGACTATGACGAAGTTGCAATAAAATATCAAAGGTCTGATGATGACTTCGACATGTCACAGCACCCCATTAGCCTCTCCCAGAAGGATCTGTCCATTAATAGAAGATGGGAGTTCTCTGTGATAACTTTTGTATGCTCCTTAACGTTCTCGTTTCGTGCAAATCCTAGCTATATTAATACAAACACCAAAGAAATCGAATATGATCTGAAGTTACCTTCTGAGAATCGACGGCGAGGAATGATCCAACGAAGTGTTCGAACTCTTTTATTACTTCAGAAACGCTTCCTCTGAAGACTGGAGCAGACGTACGGATCGCGATTGGTAGCTGAGTGAGGCTGAACAAAGCAAATGGAGAATGTAACTCGATTTTATCTGATCTCGACGAATTCAGAGCAGAAATCGAGGGGATGAAGAAGAGGAAAATGGAGATGGAATCGGAGATTTGGCTCTCGCAGTAGAAGGGAATTGGTAGCACGAAGAAGGAATGAGAAAAAAGATGAGCTGGATTGGGTTTTTTTTATTATATGGTTAATCTAGATTCTACGGTGTGCTCCTTGTCTGTTTCTTTATTTTTTTTTTTTAACCAGTGCTCCTTGTCTGTTTCCATTAAATTTAATCCACAACTCAATGAGAAATGGGAAAATAAAATACTAACCAACCCTTATTTATTCCGGAACCGAGTGAGAAAATAAACCTGGTATTTTCACCAAATATAGATTTATTATCCAAAGAGTACATCAATTAAATAAGATTTGTTTTTTTTTTTTTTTTGCTACCAAAATTATATTTGGCTGAAAAAATTTAAAATCATTTTGCTACCAAAATTATTTGGTTGGAAATAGTAAAAATCATTTTGCAACCAAATTATTTGGTCTTCTCAAATTTTATTTGGTTATCAACACTTTTATTTGAATAGACAACCAATTTTTTAATCTTTTATCTACCAAAATATAATTGGTCGTGTATACTAGTCTTTTCATGAGCACTACTACTATGCTATAAAGTATTGGTATTTTAATGTACAACTCGAAGTTGTACCGTAACGTTAAATATATAAATTCATTTCGTACCATACAGAAATTTGTACCCTTATGTTGTGGTACAACTTTACAACTTAAAGTTGTACCGTCACATAAAAGTACAAGTTCAAGTTATACCATAAAAGAAATTGTACAAAGGAGTATAGATACAACCTCAAGTTATACCATAATGTTAAAGGTGCAACTTCAAGTTGTACCATAAAGATAAAAACCTATGGTTGTAAAGTTTTTTATTGCAAAAACTAATTTTTGTTGTAGTGAAACTTCAAGTGCATGATGAATCAGCTTTCGTTCCAGGAGCATGTAAAGGAAGTGATTATTAATTAAGTATATGATATAACAAATATGTGCAAACTTCACTCCTATACAAGTTGGCTTTAATTTCATTTAAAATGACCTACAAGGAAGTGGTTCAACACCACATATACATATGGACATCTCCCAATGTCAGTATCTAGTATAATTTATTATTGAACATCTTTTAATAACTCAAATCATTTCGGGACAAGTTGATTTATTATGAGAATCCGCGACAGCAACATCGAACAGTTTAATCATAACCTTTATCAACAAAAACTGTAGGTCTCGTATCTAACACAACAATCCTCCGTCGCGTACTGAGCTCCATTTTTGTTTCGGCAATTCTCGTGTATGATTGAACCCGCGTTAAGTAGGCAGGAGTAGCAGAGGTCGCCTTCTGTAGTACAGGAAGCATATTCGTAGACCAAGATTGATCCATCACCTTGAAATTCGTCGGCTGGGCAACAGTCCAACTCGTTTATGACATCCAACAGCACCTGAGGCTGCGTGCTGTCGCTGTCAAAGTCGTCCGGACTGCAAAACCATTTGCCCGTTGCTGCACAAATCGAATCATCATCATTGGGGACAGCCTGAGCAGATGTATTAACTGTACCATTCGCGACGAAGCCTCCGTCGCTAATTGTGAGAGTTAGCAACGATAATAAGGACAGTTGCAACACTGTGGTTGCCGTAATCATTGATGATGATGTTATTGAGTAAGCCATCTCTCTCTCTCTCTCTCTCTCTCTCTCTCTCTGAACAGTTACTATCTAGCTATATATATAGCTTCTGTTTGTAATGCAAAGCGGGTGTGCTTTATATAGGGAGATAGGTAGCTATAGACACAAAGTTACTTTGGTGGCAACATTGGTATCCAATTTGGCGTTGGATTTTGTGATCGTGAGACGAATGGATTTCTGGGATACATACACCTATAGGAATGGAATTCAAGCTTAGAAATTACAGCTAGCTAGGTTATTGACCAGATATAGCTAGCTGGCCTCGTTGTTGGATCCTGCGTCTCTCCTCGTCTCATATTGTCAAACATAGAGTAGAAAGATTGATGCGTTCGGCGGCTTTCAGATTTCCGATGTTGTCTCTCATTATTTTCCTTCCTTGCGGAGCTGGGCTCAGAAAGTGAGTGGCGCTTGCATCTCGTGCTATTTGCCTATTATTGGATCAGTCTACACCCTCGGCCCATTCGTATGATCCATGCATTGCCGCCCATGCTGCTCACGTTAGGGTCTCGCCTCAGTGCCCTAGAGGTGTTAAAACATAACACGACCCGTCAAATCAACCCGACCTCAATTTGAATTGACTAAAAGACAATAACCTGGAACCCACTCGATGTGTAACCCGAATAACCTGCAACCCGATTGACCTGTAACTTGACCCATACGCAACGATTAACCCGAATCTAATTGACATGTGACCCAATTTGACCTGTAACCCTATTAAACCACACCTGACTAACTCCTAACCTACCCAATTGACCCAAGTAATTACTATATTATATAGTATATAGTATTTCAAAATGAAGCATTCTGTGCTAAAACTAATTAAAAACATTTTTTCATTTTGTAAAGGAAACATCAAATGATGATAGCCAATTGAAATTATCATTTATTTAACAAAATACAAATATAAAATCTATGCAATGCCAATATTGAAAATCAATAAATAACAATTCAAGTTGAGGGTCAATTGTTAGTTAAACTGATTGACTAATGAGTAAAATATTATGTTTGGTCATTCGATTATTTTAAAAGAAGTGATAAATTTTAGTGTTTTCAACTTTTTTAGAGAAATAGAGGAAAATTTGGTGCTCCAATTTTTAGCATAAATAGATAAGGATATGTTTTGGCGCTTTTGATTTATAAAAAGAAAAAGAAGTGAAACATTTTGATATTTTTTATTTATGGAGAGAGAAATAGGAGGAAGTTTGTGTGTTTAAATTTTTTTTATCATAAAAAACAGAGGTTACTATGGCAAACATCCCTTGCCACTAAGCAAACAATACAAGAAAACAGACATTTAATCACGGGAACTTTATATTACGGGTGTACAGCCGTGATTGAAAGTTGATTATTTATCATGGGTTGATTTTACCGTGATCAATGATTGTTACATAAGAATTTGGGTGGATTCCCGTGACTTTTGGAGTGGAGGGAACGAAAATAAGGTGGGCGGGAAGGTTGGCGCCTCTCCCAAATTTTTTTTCTCTGAAAAGTTAAAGTGTCCGCCTCTCTCTTGGCTTATGTTTATTTTTTTTATTTCTTTGCCAATCTTGCCAGCTAAACCCCATCGTCTTCTCAAAATGAGAAAATCGTATCCCTCTCGTCTTCTCTCCAGCTGCCGCCATAGTAGGCTCTCCTTCGCTTTTCCTAAAGGGTTCTACGTGCTTGTGCATGTGTAGGGGCATTTTGGGTTTTTACTCTTCCTAGCTCCTACGTCAACCCTAGGTCATAAGTAACATTAGGGTTGTATATATAAGCTCGTTCTTGCTGCTGCTGTAATCAAGCATCGTGAATAAGAGAATAACCGAGAAGGAGTTTTCCTTCTCCGTGGATTAGTCCCGTTCACAACGAACGGGGATACCACGTAAATCGATCGTGTCGTCTTATTTCCTTTCGATTGCTTGGATTTTTCATGGTATCAGAGCAGGTCAATTGACGATCCAGTTTCTCGATGAGTACGGGCAGCGCCAGCGATAGTGCGATGGTGACGAGCAGCGGCGGATTGGGCGGCCAGAACCCCCCATCGATCCCGCCTGGTTTGCGTATACTGCCGTCCGATAATCCTGGGCAACTTTTCGTTGGGGAGCTGCTGAGCGACTCCAATTATGGGGAGTGGGTTACCGATATGTCCGAAGCCCTCATCGCGAAGAACAAGATGGGGATGGTCGACGGTACCATTGTCAAGCCGGATAACGAAGAGCTGTTGGGAGCTTGGCTTCAGTGCGATGCTCTGGTGAAGGGCTGGCTGAAAACGGGAATGGAGAAAGAGGTCAGGAACTCGATTCGCTATGCCAAATCAGCACGCGAAATCTGGGTTGATTTGGAGACTCATTTTGGCCAAGTCTCCGCGCCGAGGGCCTATGAACTCCGGCAAACGATGAGCTTGCTCCGCCAAGAGAAGCTTACTGTTTCAAACTTTTACACAAAGCTACGTGGAATATGGGAGGAGATGCAGACCATTACTCCAATCCCTAAGTGTACTTGTGGCTTGTGCACATGTGACGTCGAACGGCGGGTCAGAACTAATCATGAAAGTGATCGCCTGTTTGATTTCCTGATGGGGCTGGACGATTCTTTTTCGACGGTCAAGACGCAGATTCTTTCAATGAAACCTACCCCAAGCCTTGCAGAAGCCTATCGCCTAATTGCAACAGAAGAACAACACAAAAATATCTCAGCAAATCGTCGCCCGGCGGTGGAAGCGGCTGCCTTCCAAGTGCGCCAGGACAAAGATGATCGAGATGCTGGGGGACGTGAAGAGAAAGGAGGACGCGGAGAAAAGCCGCGCTGCAGCCACTGTGGCAAAACCGGACACATAAAGGAGAGCTGCTTCGAGATTATTGGCTGGCCTGAGAAGTGGCCTGAGAAGAAAACCCGTCAAGGCGACAAGGGTGCTCGCAAGGGACAACGGCGGGAAGGTTCCAGGGCAGCAAATTCGTCCACTTCGGCGGGTATTTCTATCCCTGGCCTGTCCAATGAACAAGTGCAGCAGCTGGTGAAGTTTCTAGGCCAAGCAAATGGCCCGACCACATCTGGAACGCCACCTGAATCCTCAGCTAATATGGCAGGTAAACGTGTCTCTTCTACTGAATGGGTCATAGACTCTGGTTGCAATGAATATATCACCAATAACTCGAGTTTGTTGGAGAATTCGGAGAATGTTTCAGGTTATTTGCCGGTTAAAATTCCCAACGGTGATAGTATTCCAGTCACGAAAGTTGGTGATGTTAGATTGTCTAGTGGAATGAAGCTTAGTCACGTATTGAGCATACCACTTTTCAAGTGTAATCTTCTGTCGGTGAGCAGGTTGACGCGGGATTTTGATGTTGCCTTGATATTCTTACATGACTTTTGCGTCATCCAGGACTTACGCTCCAGGAGGATGATTGGTAGTGGGAAGCTGCGAGACGGTTTGTACTACCTCCGGTTGTTTGGTGCTACTAAATCAAGAGCGTTGG